GAAAAAAGGATAATTTATATTTATTTTGATTATATATATATATATATATATATATATTATTTTTTTTTGGTGGTTACGAGGTCTGTCAAATTGACCAACCTTGTATATAGAGTTAGCTTAGAGAAAATAATAGATAAAATGTAAAGTTTTACTGAGAAAAAACATTTGAAATGTATTTAGGAGGTTTTAGAGACTATGTAAATGACACTTGAAAATTATTTTTAATTTTTAACATGAAAATCATTTTGCACTCAGACTGGTCAAAAAGAAAGACTCATTATGTTCACAGACAAATCTTTAGTGAAAATACTTCATTTATAACTGATGTTATGTGTACAAATGACTTGTAATGTTTAATAAGAGCCTGTCAAATGTTGTGAAGATAAATATACTATATTAATAGTTATAGTATTAAAACTATATAAAAGTAAAAAATGGTCACTTAGTTGGTTCTTGTGACCGAGCCCTTATTGAGAGAGTTTGTAACTGGTTAAATGTGCAGTGCTTGTACTGTATCTACCTAGCCTAGTCTAGTTGGCTAAGCTGTGAATGCTGAATGGGTGCATTCCAAACGTCATGAACAAACTAATATAAAGTGTATGTGCATGACAAAATGTGAAAATACTGTATGTACCATTTGGAGGGAATTTTGGAGAAATGAACATCAGCTTTGGCTTTGGTATATCGAACTGAAATGTTACACCACTTTCACTGTGTTGTTAGAGGTCTCTAAGACAACATGTAAGAGAAAGGAATGATTTGCATGTTATGCATTCAAAGATGGAAGTGATTCACAACCGGGTTTGTTTTGATTTGGAAATTGCGATGCAAACATGAATATTTTGTCCCCTGCCCTCACAGGGCATTCTTCTCACTAACTCAAAAATATTATATAGTATATGTGGAAAGACAGAGAGAGAGAGAGGAGGGGGATGGGGTGTATGTGTGTCACTGAGGTGAGTTTCTTTATTTAGAAGCTTGAACTAATTCTAACAAACTGTGTACACACATATACACACGACAGAATAGCATACCTAATTAAAAGATTCATGAAATGCCTACGATGGAATGCAACATAAGCCATTGTGGCTTAGTTTTCATACTAGCCTAATTGAAGCTGCAATGGCAAAATGTAGGGTAAAATAAAAATAAAATATAATAATCTGGAGTGTAAAGGCCAATTTTTTTCTGTATTGTCAAAATGTCTAAATCTTTTCAGTTTGCACTGCAAATTCTGAAAAACAGTAACACGAATTAGTTGTTTATTTTCATATTCATTACTAGTTAGTTTTCAGTCCTGCATTTAGGGTGTTAACTTGCTGCTATCTTCATAAGAGTGCTGAGAAAGACTGTGTATCATATTAAGAGCTAGGGTTGAAACCTGATATTTGGTTCAACATCAGAGTAATTATCAGGCTTAGGTGATTTTATAGGCTACTAACCAAAACAGTGGTCTTATTTGATTGTTTGTAGCTTGTGTGTTATTCACTTGTATAGACATTAGTGTATTGAAGATATTACATTGATATAACTAGTTGTATGTGGTCTATCTCCTTTTTTTTAACATTATATTTTTGGTAGTTTCAATGTATCTTTCTGTTAATGCAGTATTCATGCTTGTAACCTGTCAATTTTTTCCCCTACAGTGTATATTGCATAAAAATATCTGCCTATCTTCTGTGAATTAGTAGTGTAATTTATTCTGGAGCAACTTTTCCTTCTGCTAATACTTTGCATTTTTCAGGTATGTCTGCTACCTTAATTACTTTCACAGTTCAAGACTTTGATGTAATTCCATACTTTTTTTCCTGTTTTGCTTTTCATTTTGTTAATCTTAAAAGTATATGTTGAAGCTTTTAGGATTTTCTCAAGTTTCTTGGTGTTGCCATTTCTTTCCCTTACTCTCCTGTAATAATGTTAGAAATGCCTAGTCTCTTTCTTTTTACTTTCAGTAAATATGCGATCTTGAATAGTAACTCTTTCCCTGTGCTTTCAGTACCTTGAGTTTTGGTGAGTAATTCTCTCTTTGTGCTTCCAGTATATAAAGAAGCTTGGCTAGTCGTGTTTTCTCTGAGCTTTTAGTACCTTTGAGTTCTGGTGAGTTGCTCTTTCCAAGTGCTTTCAGTACATACAAGAACTTTGTTAGTGATTTTATTTTCTTTGTGCTTTCAATAATTAATGTGAAACTTGTATTTAAAGGTAAGAAGGCTTATATATATCCTTCTCTGAGAATGATATGCTCCCATTTAAAGTTTAATGTTGAATTTTGGTTCTCATATTGAAGGGACAATGACATGCTGAAAAGAATACAAATACAGGCTATCAAGATGATAGTTAAAAAAACAGTTGTGTATAAAAGCTTAACTTCTATGAGTTATATTGAAAATAGCAGAACAAGAGGTGAATTAATTCAGGTCTGTAGATTGTTAAGAACATTTGTATCAAATCATACAGGTGGCAGATTTAAGAGATATAACTACCATATTAGAAATATGATTAGAAAAATAGCAATAATAAACCTCTGAGGTACATATTTAGGCATATTTTCTGGTCAGAATTATATCTGTTAAAATTTATAAACCTTTGATATGTTAGCTCAAGGATGTGGTGGTATTAGCTGCTAAGTTTATTTAAACTTTTGTTGAATAAATATATGTTTCCAAAGGATATGTTTAGTTGGGAATGAGGCCTTGATTGTTTTTTTCTGTGGTTGGAGAGTTGAGCGAAATAATCTTTTGTCTTATTCTTTTTTGTCTGACAAGACTGTCCGTACATAGCGCCCTCTAAGAAGAAATGTTTTTTTTTCAAAAATTTTTTAAAGATATTTCCTTTCACTTCAGCACTGGTTCTGCCATCTATGATTGGAATCTAAACCTTTTTTAAATCTGTTTTCTTTATAAAACTGCGTCTGGGCGTGTTAAACCTCAGTTGTAAAACTTTTAGCCAATCCTAGTCGAAAGTGTCAATTTCAGTACCAATTATTCCTTTTGCTGTATCTCCCATTTGACAAATCATAGGATGATAAGGAAAGCACTTGATGAAACGTTGTTCTCTGTATTTTACAATATGAATGTGGGTGGTGCTTATTATAGTAACTGCCATTTTATGTAGGGGTTGTATTTAGTACTGGCCAATAGGTCTTTTCTATAAGCGTTAGAAAAGTTGCTTCTGGAAAAAACTGCATGGGATGTACGTGACTTTTATTTTTTTTATATAGTAGCTTAAGTCATGCTGCATGGTATATCTGTTTTATATTAATCATTATATTGAAAAATTAACTCAAAATAGATATATTTTTGAGGAAAGAAGTTGATCCACGATTGTTAGGGTTAAGAGTTACCGAGTGGCGAGTGCAAAGTTTTTACATGAATTAGACTTAAGACTATGAACTGAAAGAGTTTGTGATTTTTTTATTATTATTATTATTATGAACTAAATATAAAATTATGCTAAATTATTGAGCTTAAAACTACAAATTTAAATTCAAAAAGTTTGTGATTTTTTATATTCTTTTGAATTTAAATTTGTAGTTTTAAGCTCAATAATTTAGCATAATTTTATATTTAGTTCATATAATAATAATAATATGATTCAGTATTTAGAATGAAAAACTTGTGTGA